AAGAAACCAAGTGGGAACACACAAATATTGAATATCTATTGAGTGCTAGATACTGTGCTGGGTCTTTCACATGAATTATACCATTTATGTAATACATAAACATGTAAATTATACATTCCTCACAAAAATCTTAAGAGGTTGGTAAACACCCTACTTTATAGGTAAGGAAAATAAGACTTAAAATGTTTAAGTAACTTGCCTAAGGCCATTTGGAGCATGTTTTCTATTTGTATTAAAATATTTGCTCATTTATAGCTCATCAATTTAGGTTGAACACTTCTAGGTCTTTTGACTATAGACTTTAAAGCTAATTCTTTTTACCTCTTGTCTAGCTCTCATATTTGAAGGACACTGAAGTTATCTCTTGGAAGAGAAATCACTCTTAGGTCAGGTTCCTAGCCAAGCATTTCCCTGACTTAGGAGGTGGTCAGAGTAAGCCTCATGAATCTTGATCTCATTTTTCTCCTGATTAAAATAAGGCTGATAATAATTACTTCAAAATTATTGTGATGACCAAGCATAAGTAACAGCACATCAGAAAGCTTTATTTTAGATCCTGTAAAACTATAAGGAGTTAATTCACTCCTCTCCATTCAGATTTACTTTTTTTAAATTTTGTTTTAAGAAATTCAAGAGAGAAAAGCACAAATAACACAACAAATTATCACCACTAGAATATTTAATATTTTCTCACCTTGTGCTTCTTGTTTATTTTTGTTTTTTAAAAATGAACCATTTCACATATAAGTAAAGTCTCCTCTAACCACTGTGCTGTGTCTCATCCCCAAGCCCCTCCCTGACCCCTCAACACCCCCAACCCAAAGATACCTGTTCATAATTCCAATAACCTTTTATATTTTTACAAAGGTGCATACACATCCATAGTATTATTTTTGTGTATATGTTCCTTTATTCAAAAGGTATTTATTTGTTCACTAGCTATGTGCAAGATACAGCTCTAGGTACTGTGACTATAGCAAGGAAACAAGTTAGACAAGCTTTTGCTCCTAGTGGGGGGAGATAAGCAATTTGAAAATCAATCAATTCATTGATCAATCAGCCAAAAAAGAAAAATATCGGATGGTATGAGTTTTTAATTACATGCATGTTATTCTATATGAATTGTTCTACAGTTATTTTTTTCTCCACACAAGATTCTGGCTTGTTTTTACAACAGTTTTAGAGGTTTTTTTTTAAATATATATATTTTATCTCTATTCTAGAAACTTGGCATCAAGTATTCCCTACAGAGAGTGATTAACTTAGCTTTGATAATTTATTTTTTAATGTATATAGTCTCTTTACCTGTCAATTTAATCCTAATAGGAATGTCTGTATCTTCTGAATTTTTATAGAGACTTTGTTCTACACAAGACACTGTGCTGAGAACTCTGGGATAGTCAAAGGTAAATAAGACATTTTCCATCACGCTGGAGCTTACGATTTGGTAGCAGAGATAATATATACAAATTATAAATCAATAATGATAGTATTAATAACAGCCAATAATTATTGAGCCCTTACTATATGTTCAAGTACTTTATATTTCTCATCTTCTAGAAATTAACATTTTTATAACCATCTTTTTGACAAGGAGTGTGAGTCAGAGAACTTCATCCTTTAAGTCCACAACTATTTATGATTGTAGTGATTCTGGTCACTGTGCTGGGTATAAAGAATATAAATAAAAGAATACATGATTATCTGAATGTAATTCCCAGACTTAAGAAGTTTACCATCCAAGAACAAGTAACTAAAAGTATTTGCCTCTATAATGCTACAATTATGATTCCCCCCATCATAACCCCAAGCCCAAACTCAAACACTGCTTTTCCAGTGAAGCCTTCCTTTTCTCCCAGACAAGGTCAGGTTCACTTCTTATACGATTTCATGGTGCTTTATACCTTCATTTTGTAGCACTCATCTCAGTTTATAATTATACCTTTATTTGTATCATTATTAGTCAAATCATAAACTCCATGAGAGCAGTTCATATTACAGTTCTTTCAACATTGTAATCAATGCCTAGGAAATGTCCAGCACATAGTAGGTACTCAAGAAATATTTTTTGTCTGCATAAAAGAAACAATATCATAAGTATTATGTTGAAGGTATATCATATGTTAGGCATTGTTTCAAGAACTTTATATACATCATTCCATTCAACCCCCATGAAATCCTATGAGGTAGGGAGTACTGTATTAATTTACTGATGAAGATGCTGAAGCTCATATAAATTGAATAACCTTCCCATAGTACCACTTCTGGAGAGTAGCAGAAGCTGAATGACTCCAAAGTCTCAGATCTTTCCTACTATGCAGCACTGCCTCAAGATTTTAAAAATAAGAATATATGAAAGAAATATATATTTATACACACATATGCATACGTACATATGCATGCATACACACACACACACACACACACACACACACAATCAGGGTTCAACACCTGATGCCTTCACTAGTCTATTCCTTCTCTGACTCCCATAAACCATTATCCATTCCTGTCATATGTCACTTATATCAATAAGGATGCTTTCAGCTCAAGTACCAGAAAACACAACTTGGAATATATTAAGTTGTAGGGGAATTTATTATTCTTTAATATTATTATTTTAGTGAAAATATTCTTTTCACTAAAAAGAAGTCTGGGAAGCAGCTAGTTCCTTAGTTGGTCAAGTCAGAAGTTTTACTATTCCATCAAAGACTTGGTTTTTTTTTCATCTTTCTGTTCAGTCACTTTCAATGTGTCCTCCACCAGCTTAAACTCCTCTCAGTCAGAACATGGCTGCTACAGTTCCAGACATCATGTTTTACCTTACGCACATCAATTTCCGAAGTGGAAAAAAATGAATTCTCTCCCACTTACATCCTTATAAAGAGCTGAATAAAATCAATTACACTGAGGATAAATAATGGAACAAATTCTTTGCCTTGACAGCAAGGAATAAAGAGAGAAATAGCTATTGAGTAGGCAAGCATAATGTGTGCCACAACCATTGCCACTTTTTAACTT